AGAATAAACTGCTATGTTTTTGTCTACCAGTAGTACCACGTTACAACATGACAAGAACAAACTGCTATGCTTTTGTCTACCAGTAGTACCACGTTACAACATGACAAGAACAAACTGCTATGCTTTTGTCTACCAGTAGTACCATGTTACAACACGAGAACTATTGGTATCCTGGATAAGAATAAACTGCTATGCTTTTGTCTACCAGTAGTACCATGTTACAACACGAGAACTATTGGCATCCTGGATAAGAATTAAATGCAATGTTTTTGTATACCAGAAGTACCATGTTACAACACGAGAGCTATTGGCATCCTGGATAAGAATTAACTGCTATGTTTTTGTATACCAGTAGTACCACGTTACAACACGAGAGCTATTGGTATCCTGGATAAGAATTAACTGCTATGTTTTTGTATACCAGTAGTACCATGTTACAACACGAGAACTATTGGCATCCTGGATAAGAACAAAGGAAGTCCAAAACGATGGTTTCCCCAGCACTTGTCTAAATTTGCTTGATTGCCACTTTTTTTAACTTTCTGTCTGAACACTCTCCATACTTTTGTTCTTCATACTTAATTTTTGTTTGATATTCTATGAGACTCTTTATTTTTTCTAAGTTATGTATTTGCCTGCGTTACACTTCGCATTTGGCATTTGGTAAAATGACGTCTTCAGTTTTGTTTGGGCCCTGCATGGCCAGGTGGTTAGGGTGCTCGATTCGCAATCTGCGGGTCGCGGGTTCGAATCCCCGTCACATCAAACATGCCCGCCCTTTCAGCCGTGGGGGGTGTTATAATGTGACGGTCAATCCCACTATTCGTTGGTAAAAGAGTAGCCCAAGAGTTGGCGGTGGGTGGTGATGACTAGCTTCCTTCTCTCTAGTCTTACACTGCTAAATTAGTGACGGCTAGCGCAGATAGCCCTCGTGTAGCTTTGCGCGAAATGAACAAAACAAAACAAACAAACAGTTTTGTTTGAGCTGCTTCCAATCACCATAAGCTCTTTAATCAAAGAGTTTGTAAAACTTCTAACCTCTCATAGGTAAACAACTATCATTTTTAAGAGCACTTTGCAATCTTCATTTAAATTACATTTGTCTAAACTGACAAGTTAAGACCTTCATTAGAACCTCTTTGTTCATGTTATAGTGTTCGTACTTTGAACTGGGCATTCAAAGAAGAAAAAAAACAACAAATACACACCAATGAAATAAACCAATCGAAATGCACGTTAATGATAAGGTCTCACGTAAAATAGAAACAAACTATGCAAACAAATGCTATTTGTCGACATTAACCTAGTAGCTTGAGCTTCATGATTTCGCTATAGCAAGAAATAAAAGATTAAACACATTTCGTGATTAAGCTCTAAAAGTACGGTAAAATACGGACATCAAAAGCTTAAGCTAAGCGAGCTATGCTTCGACGACTTTGTGTAATACATATAACATTAAAGTTGCCGTCTCTATTAAAAGTCATAAAGGCAGTGTCGCATACAAAGCAATTTTGGATAGCTCAACCAATAAGGAAGTTCAGTATAAATCCAGCGGTAATGAATTACATTGAAATAGAATTGGTAAACAACAACTTAAGAGTAATTAAACCTAGAAATGTTAATGGGTTTGTACGGATCTACACTGGCTTTTCAAACACACTTTTTTAAAAGCTATTTTGGTATCAAATTGTTTGTGCGTTTAAAATACTTTTATGGTTAAGGGGTTCTTAAATGTATACGAGTCATAAATGTGAAATTAGTCAAGAGGACAGAGAATGTCCCGGATGTTACAGGGTGGCCCAAAAGTATATGACTCGAATATGTCTTCTACAGGTGTTATAGAGTCCTATTTTTTTTTCTTCTTCTGGGGCATCCTGTATGTTAAAGGTACTTGTAGTATCTCTATTAAATTGTTCAACTGAATATCGTGGTTTGTTTTCGATACCTGTCAGTTCTTAACGTGAATACAACACGTAATAAGTGTATCGTCTCAGCACAGTTTCATTAAACAAAAATACCATCAATGTTGCAGCTAATCCCACAGTTCCTAGGATTCGCGGTTCGAGTCCGTTCCCGCAAAAACGTGCTCCGTAATTTAAGATCATGGTTGCCTATCAGAGTTACTGCCATATTTCACCATTCGATTAGATAAGAGTAGGCCAAAAATTCGCGGCGTGTGGTGTTTAATAGCTGCCTTCCCTCTAGTCAGTCAGTGCAAAATAAGTGACGGCTATGCGCAGATAATCCTTGCGTAGATTTGCACGAAACCTTAAATAATCTTCTACATAATAAAAAGTTGAATAAATTGGAAAACAGCTCTTAAGTTATTATTAACAATGTTTAGAACGAAGAAGTTACTTGTAAAACATAAAATCTGACATTTTTATATGTCTCCATTATTTGTTTATTTGTAATTTAAGCACAAAGCTACACAATGGGCTATCTGTGCTTTGCTCACTACGGATATCGAAACCCAGTTTCTAGCGTTGTAAGTCCGCAGACATACCGCTGTGCCATTAGGGGCGTCCTCATTATTACTTCTAACTACTTCTAACTACCCTCGCAGCTCCATAAAACCTAAAATATTTATGTCTCCATTATTAGCTTTATTTCTACCTCCCCTTTCAGTTCCATAACATCTGACATTTATATGTTCCCATTATTACCTACCCTCCCAGCTCCATAAAACTTGACATTTTTATGTCTCCTCATTATTACCTTCATTTCTACCTACCCTCGTATCTCCATAAAACTTGACATTTTTATATGTCCTCATTATTACCTTCATTTCTACCTACCCTCGTATCTCCATAAAACTTGACATTTTTATATGTCCTCATTATTACCTTCATTTCTACCTCCCCTCGCAGCTCCATTTGGAAACTACCACTCAAGTCCAGGACTTCTTTGGTCGTTGGACTCAGGTGAATCTTCAGAGCTAAATAATATGTAATTTCACGTATTAGTTTTACATGTGTTAGTTTCACATAGTTTACTGTTCTTAGTTTTGTAAATAGAAAGATTTTCAAACTGAATATTAAGCCGTAAACCGAACACAATACATGATATTTATCTCAATTCCTATACGTCTATAATTACATATTTATATTAACATCTAACAAATAATAAAGCATACCATGTTCAAAGTATTTATGCACAATAATTACAAAACCATAAATGCGTTTTAAATTTTCAGCTATAAAATCTGTGATCCCTGAGAATTGTGCTGAATAAAAAATAAAAAATATGTATTTTTGAAGCCAATCTGACACGTTGTGTGAAATATTTTTACAAAGTAGTCTATAACAAGGTTAACAGTAGGAAATTCAATACAAATTTGAAAAATTCACTACAATGTCTGTTAAATACATAAAGAAAGTATATACTAGTAGCTTCTGATCAAAAGTAGGCTAACTTTATTGATCAGAGCTAAAACAAGTTACCGAGATGTTAGCTGTGTGAAATAGGATGTCCTGGAAGTTACAGGGGGACCTATAAGTACAGAACTCGAACTTTTCTTCTATAGATGTTATAGAGCCTTATTTTTCTGGGGCATCTTGTATATTAAAAGTACTTGTAGTACCTTTATTCAGTTGTTTAACTGAATATCGTGGTATTTTTTCGATTTATGGTATTTATTTCTTAACTCACAAAGCAACACGTATTAAGTGCATCACAGCTTCACTAAGGACAATCCATCTATAATCCAATTAAATCTCATAATACGTAAATCTGGAGCTATTTAGTACTATATTTTGTATCATTGCTGAGAATATAAGTAGGGTTTAGATCAGTCTTAAAAGATGAGTAGTGGATGTGTGAATAAAACAAAGTTTTCCTAGGGTTCATCTGAGTGTAAGCTAGTTCCAATTTTTAAATACTTGATAATACCTCCAGGTTCTCTTACCTATTTGTGTCCAGAGGTTAATAAGCAGCTTTATTAAAAGCATTTACTTGTATGTTTAAGAGATTTACAAATTGAATTAAGAGTCCTTACGTTGTCCGTTAGATTCCATTCTGGAGGTGGTATTGACTGTATCACCAAACAAACAGTATCTGGGCATTTTAAGTCCCACAACTCCGGCTGCACACGGACCTGAAGACAAATGTAAGGAAGAATGAACCATAACTGAACATGTGGAGTCATAATACCCTGTCATGATATACAGTACTTTGTCAATGAACACAATGAATCATAGTAAGTGAACATTTGGAGTCACAGTACTCTATCAATGAACACAATGAGTCATAGTAAGAGACATGTGGAGTCACAGTACTCTGTCAATGAACACAATGAGTCATAGTAAGTGGACATGTGGAGTCACAGTACTCTATCAATGAACACAATGAGTCATAGTAAGAGACATGTGGAGTCACAGTACTCTGTCGATGAACACAATGAGTCATAGTAAGAGACATGTGGAGTCACAGTACTCTGTCAATGAACAGAATGAGTCATAGTGAGTGGACATGTGGAGTCACAGTACTCTATCAATGAACACAATGAGTCATAGTAAGAGACATGTGGAGTCACAGTACTCTGTCAATGAACACAATGAGTCATAGTAAGAGACATGTGGAGT